ACCTATACTTATCTACAACAAGTAAACTACTGGTAATGTGTTACTACTACACAAACAATGTATATACACACACCTATACTTATCTACAACAAGTAAACTACTGGTAATGTGTTACTACTACACAAACAATGTATATACACACACCTATACTTATCTACAGCAAGTATACTACTGGTAATGTGTTACTACTACACAAACAATGTATATACACACACCTATACTTATCTACAACAAGTAAACTACTGGTAATGTGTTACTACTACACAAACAATGTATATACACACACCTATACTGATCTACAGCAAGTATACTACTGGTAATGTGTTACTACAACACAAACAATGTATATATACACACACCTATACTTATCTACAACAAGTAAACTACTGGTAATGTGTTACTACTACACAAACAATGTATATATACACACACACCTATACGTATCTACAACAAGTAAACTACTGGTAATGCGTTACTACTACACAAACAATGTATATACACACACACACCTATACTGATCTACAGCAAGTATACTACTGGTAAGGTGTTACTACTACACAAACAATGTATATATACACACATACCTATACTTATCTACAGCAAGTATACTACTGGTAATGTGTTACTACTACACAAACAATGTATATACATACACACACACACACACCTACACTGATCTACAGCAAGTATACTACTGGTAATGTGTTACCACTACACAGACAAGGTGTGTGTTATATACATATATGTATCTACAACAAGTATACTACTGGTAATGTGTTACTACTACACAAACAATGTATATACACACACACCTATACTTATCTACAACAAGTATACTACTGGTAATGTGTTACTACTACACAAACAATGTATATACACACACACCTATACTCATTTATACCTATTATTCACTACAAAAATGAAACCTTCCAGATATACCCCCACAATAGTGACAGATCACACTGAATTTTTTCAATGCTTTCTTAGTTCACAACAAACACACTAAATATACATGTGGATTATGATCGTCTACTGTACACCATTAGAGAAACAGACTAAGATTCTCTCCAACACTGGTGACCAAGCTGTTACCATATTGAATGATGTAAGGCATGAGCTAATCACAAGCATACCTCATGAAGTGAGAGTTATTATTATTTTTTAATTATCTTACTTAATGTAACCTAATAACAAACTAATTTTTGCACAAGTTACTTTCATAGGAATAAATAAAAAATAGTAAAAAAAAAATACAAGAAATATGGTAATTACATTTGACCTCATTTTTATGATGAAATTTAGGCCTACTTTTTTATTGTAATAAATCATAATTACAATAAAATAATAAGATTTTCTTTTACTTAAAGAATTCATACAAGAACACAGAATAACAACATACACACATCACAAATAATGTCCTATATAACTATTATAATTTAACTGGCTTTCTACAAGTGCCTTAAAATAATTCCATTAGTTACTTGATCCGAACACAAGAAAAACTTTCAATAGGAAAATGAAATAGCTAAAACTTTTTATTGAGAACAATGTAGCATTATATGTCATTCAACAGACTAAAATTTTAGTTATAAATGAATAAAAGTCGGTGAATTATTGGTAATTTATGAAAGAGAATGTGACAGATAGTAGTAGCAAGTGGGTATGATTTTGTAGTTTGTCTCCATAAACAAACAAGACTGAAGGCTACATAATTAGATCTTGCCTCAGAAATATCTATACTATACTAAGTAATATACATTAAAGTAAGTATGTCAGAAACTAACAGGATGGGTAAAACGTAGTGAATAAATGTCACGATTCTCATACAAGAAGATATATTTAAATCTTTCATCTTAAAACTAAGAAAATATAACATATAATATGAAAATTTTAATTATATTTTGATGCCAAGTGTATTTGTGTACATTGTTAATAAAGTAGGTTATTTAAATATTGAATGTAACTATTACATGAACTTTGACCTTGTTCACGATAATAATAATAACCCAACAGTTTTACTTATTACAGAAGTTCATTACAATTAGGAATATCCAAGTATCTGAGAGAAACAATGTGTAAAATGTTATCAATTCAGTTCAATAACTTACTTTCATCACATCTATTCCATACAATTATCATCATCATCATCATCATCAGATAAGTGTGAAAATCATCCCACCCGAGAAGAGTTTGATATAAATGAAAGTTATATAAAAAAAATAGCCTGTAGCTCTTCAACATTATTTTTAACTAACAGTCTTAAAAGCATCACCTATTGAACAGAAATCACACATTCCAATACAGCTTGTAACAAACATTGTACCTAACACCACTTCCATTGAAACTGGAAGGAGCCTCTGATGTTGCTGTGAAATCAAATGGTGAGGAATCGGTTCCAAACTCCAGTGCACCAAACTGAACATCCAACGACATGATAGCATTGTCTGGCATCTCCACCGCTGTTTCTGGAATCTTCAATTGGAATATATGATTAACATATCAACTGTGTGTAAATCTTGTTATTAGTTTATAACACTGCCAAAACCTACAAACTTTCAGACAATATTATTACTAAATCATAATTAAGGTGGCAGCATTGCAACTGTGAATAAGGCCTATTACCTATAGTTTTATGTTACTGAAGATTTGAGTGTGCATTATGTAGTTATTGGGATCTGAGGCTACATATAACAAATACATTAAACTGTTCTGATTGGCTGAATTTCTAAGCATGATAACTTCATTATGAATTAAAATCAGATTATTATTCATTTTGTTGTGTGTGTCTTAAGTAATGTAATAGACAAGAAGTAACTACAGTTGTGTTTTAGTGCTTGACAAATATAATGATATTTAAGGCAGTTTTACTTTTGTACTTGTATGTGGTAGCACATAATGCTAATACTATAGTAAGCTGTTACATTGATTTATAAGGTCTTTAGGTATCCTGACCAGTGTTCTCTCAACACATGTAGTATGTTCTAAAAATAATAATAACCACTATTTTATGCTCATAACTTGTGTCTCAGTTTACTATTAGCTAAAGTAGTCACATTAATTCTTATTTTTTAAAACGAGGCTAAACCCACTACAGTGCTACTACTGGTATGAATGAAACTGTTGACCATCTCTAGGTCACACTACCATATGTGACACACAACACCCAATGCAGTGTGAAAGTGTTGACTGTCTCTATGTCCCACTACCACATGTGATACAGAACACCCAATACAGCATGAAACTGGAGCTTGTCCCTAGGTCACACACCACCCAGTGCAGTGTGCAACTGCAGACTGTCTCTTAAATCACGCTATCACATAATGAATATGCATTAATTTATATTCAGAGTAGTATGTATAGTCAATTATTGTAATGGCAATAACATGCTGAATATAAACTAGTTTACAGAGTTATATAACTCCTGAGGACAAAATATACTAAACCACAGATCCATGAAATGTACTTGGAGACATTACAAAGAGAATAAACCTTAACAGAGTGGTTATTATATTTTACAGAGTACCTATGTCTACCTTTGAAGACTGAGGTCCTCTCATTCTTTGTGGCTTGACTCTTGAAGAAATAGGTTGAGGTTGAGTGTGTGTCACAGGTTTTGATTGAACTGACTGGTTCACAGCTGCTTGGAGTGGTCCTGTCTGTGCTGAAGATGAAGGACTCTCAAAACACGTCGAGTAATTTGGACTGCTTCCTGAAGTTATGCTGGAAAAACTGTTGCTGTTTCTACTTACCACCTGAAACAAATTTTAAATAAATTTCCCACTTACTAGTATTGTATCATGACAATCCAGAATACTGTTTTCAACTACCAGAAATATATACAGTGAAAAACAACCCTTGGATTATTAGTTCTTGTCTAATCATCTCCTTAAAAGATACTTTAAATAATCAGAAAAACATAAAACCATAGGTAAGTCTTTTTCTAAGACACACCAATATAAACCTATACTTTGGGAGGAGCAAAAAAATCCTGAATAAAGGCATAATGACTTTGTTTACAGATGATGCCCATTGGAAATGTGCTGAGATTAAAGTTAATATCTTTACAAACTACACTAAATATATTTTGTAAGATATTTTCAAGTAAAAAAAAATTGTTGAAACAAGTTAGAATTATTTTTACTTTAATTGTGTGTGTTTGTTATCCAAGTGTGTTCACAGTGCCCGTAAGACCCTAACAAGCTGCCCATCAGCTATAATAAAGTTAAGTATAAAGTCTCATGGATGAAACTATCAATCCTATAGTGTACACAACAAATAGTATAAAAACTGAAACCTTGAGTGTATCAAATACTGAATAAAACTGAAACCTTGAGTTTGAGTATGAAAACATAAATATTATCAGATAAATTATAATTAAAGATTATCTGTGGAGCTTTTATTTTTGTTTTTTACTCTTCAAACGACATTTTCTGCACGTATATGTAGTCTGAATTTTATCCTAGTTAGTTTTACTTAGCATTTGATACTATTACAGACAATAAAGACAAGCTTTTCTAATGAGTAATATTCAGATTTAATTTATAGCATGTGATACTGTTCACGTTATACAAAACCTACCCCTACTGCTGCTTTAATAGACTCCGTTGCTTGCTGAGCATACTGGCTAAGGCTAAATTGGTTTGGTGCACTTTGAGTGGTAGATTGGTTTATCTGAGAAGTCATCATAGATGGGTGGATATGTTGAGAGTGACCACCGGATGAAAGTACCGTTGGACTTCCCAGACTACCTGTCCCAGTATTATCCTTCTGAAGAGTGGACAGATCCAAGCTTTTCAAGAACAAATAACACAATTTTTTTAAAAACATAAAAAAACTGATCAGAAATGTTTGCACTACGTTTCAATCACACAGTTACATTTTGTTTAAAAACATTTATATTTTAATGTAAGAGATCACTGGGAATTATATGTTAATTTACATAAAGTGCATTACACACCTGTGTGTCAAGGTAGAAGTCGCATCATCTACAGGCCCTACCAACAAGTGGCTGCTTGAGCTCGGAGTAAACACTTTTGTTTCTGTAAGCTAAGAAATATTGATATCCAGCTTTTCTTAGAAACTCAAAAGACCAGATTTTTTTTAGATATGTTTAATAATCTCAAAATGTTCTCATGCTGAAAATATTTAACCAAAATTTACTACACACACACCTTTTTTTTTCAATTGGTTAGTTTGTGAGAAATAATTAAAATTCCATTTAGTATTTGTATATTTTTTTCATACTTACATAAAATACCGACAATAAAATACCAACAATTTTCATAATTAGTAGTCTATGTGATGTAACTATTAGTTACATACTAATAACTAGATACTAGTTAGTAGCTAGTTTTCATAGCTTATATTACAAATTTCTTTTAATAAAATGTAAATCTGAATATAATCTGTGACAAAGAAGAACGTATTCTTTGATTTGCCGTATCTGATGCAGTGTCACCTATTCAAAGCTCATAAGCATAGCTTTGGTCAACAAACCAAAGAAACAGTTAGGACTCTCATAATGGTGAAGTGTATATAATATTTATGGGTTTTTAAAGTCCTTTTTAACTCACCATATAGTAACCTAAGTCAATTTAGATGTTTGTGAATATTATTATTCAGCATTATATATAAAAATAATCTAATACCAACAAAGGACCTATTGGTCCTTCTAGACCATCTCAATCGCTATACTAAACTTTAAAATGAAAATAAAACACTCAAAGCCAGCCCTTATCATTCAAATATTTATGAAGCCTTCCCTTAAACTTACTGCATCTACCACATCTGAACGCAGCCTGTTCCAAAGGCCAACCACACTATTAGGATAATAAAACCTATTTAAATAAAGATGGCTCCTATCCTGACAAATAGTTATGTCCCCTAGTCCTATCATTCACACACAAACTCTTGAACAAAACAATTCAGTCATCTAAATGCACCAAGTATTTCAAATCTTCAAGATGCTTCATCACCACTTCAACTTTCTATGTTTTACTATTGTATTCTCAACTACAGAGCACTATGGATCCCAAGGTATTCTCAACTATAGAGCACTACAGATCCCAAGGTATTCTCAACTACAGAGCACTATGGATCCCAAGGTATTCTCAACTATAGAGCACTACCCCAAGGTATTCTCAACCACAGAGCACTACAGATCCCAAGGTATTCTCAACTACAGAGCACTACAGATCCCAAGGTATTCTCAACTACAGAGCACTACAGATCCCAAGGTATTCTCAACTATAGAGCACTATGGATCCCAAAGTATTCTCAACCACAGAGCACTACAGATCCCAAGGTATTCTCAGCTACAGATCCCAAAGTATTCTCAACTATAGAGCACTACAGATTCCAAGTTATTAGCCCATTTCTAGATTAACTCCAAGAGGGCAGTACACTAAACATCAGCTGAATAATCAAAGAGATGAAAAACAAACACCAAGCTAACTGAAAAGAATTAACATCTGGTTATGCAAAATACCATCTTTGAGTA